TTGACCTCGGTGAGCTTCGATCGAGAATGAAAAGTAGAATACTTATTGAGATAGATTACGAGTCTAACTATCGCAATGTAACATAAAGTTTTCTTACCGATCGTCAATAAAACTAATAAAATACTAAACAACTTCTAAAAACTTGTTAATTATAGAACAAATAGCAGTATGAACTAAGTCAAGAACATTATATCTTTTATATAAAGGTGATATGTGAAATAACACTATGTTATTTAACTAAACAACGAGTGCAAGTGTTCAAGCCTATACCTTTCAAAGAAAAAAAGTTATTCTTAGTAAGGATACCAAATCATTTCTCACTTAAGTATCTAAATTGCCTATGCCATAAATTGATGGAGGCATCTTCAATTGCATAGACCTTCCTTTTAATCGCCTTGGCTTATGATATGTAGAGACCCTTCTTCTTACTTATATCAACAATCAAATAATCTTTAAAGAGCTTCTATTTACCATATTTAAATTATGACAACGTTTTTATCAAGTATACCTATAGATTTTTTAAGAGTAGGCACATATGGGGCATATGCTTTGCATTCTTAAGCAATAACTTACACCTAATATTCATTTCTAACAAAATATCTCTAATTCTTGCAACATTAGCCATCATTTGATTTGATATCCTAACTTTACTAAAGTCTCCATTAGTGTAAAATGTGAAAAAAATCATGTTAAAATGTAGGATGATAAAAAAACAGTTGAATTTGCAATCTAAGTGGTATCTTGACAAATATGATTTACATAATCATTCATCACAAAATAATGGTGACATCATCATCGCAAAACAACTACATTTTTATTGTTCTTTTCATTTTTTTCTTTGATTTTATAATTTTGATCTATCTTGTACTTTCTACGATCCCGTTAGATATGTCTAGGCATGTCACAATAATAATAATAATTTATTCTCTTTCTTTACCGAGATCTTTTTTTAGGTTTTAATCTATATTTTCTATCACCGATTCTCTATCCCGCTTACCACCGTAAAATCTACTCTATCTTCTCTTTAAATTTTCTATAACAAGTACATAGGATTTTAAAGTGTTTGACCTTTTCTTATGTTTCTTCTTATTAAGAATAATATCATTCACTATATTTAAAGTGAGCTTTTTATTCGGAGTAGAGTTGTTAAGTGACCCGTCTAAAGTTTTACAAACTCAAGGTTCATTAATGACAAATAATTTAGAAACCTTTAAAAGCCATTTAAGTGCATTGATGTATCTTCACCATCTTTATACTTTAAGTTTACAAGATCTTTGATAACAAAACCCTTGTTTTATGTATTCTCCTTGACAAAAGTTTCTTCTAGCGAATTTTTAAACTTTATAGTAGTTATATTTCTAAAAAAATATGGTTGATGGATTTAGAAGATATTTATTTTCCGACGGTAGTTGTAGCTTTTTTGTTGATCGACTTATATTTTTTCCTCTTTAATATCAATAAGCTTCTTTCCTTCGTATCAAGGACGATAACCTTTCATTTTTTTCCTTTATTGTTATCAAATGTTACAGCCTTTTTTTTTTTTTTTAATATTGGTCGCCTTGTTTTGATTCCGGTAACAACTAAATATGTCAAAGTTGTTAATGTAGGTGTTTAAGATCCAACTTGTTTAAATGTTTGGATAAATTGTATTATTACATTTTTTATATCAATAAAAAAGTTTTTTTTATTAATTTTTATTATTTATAATTTGATATAATTAGATAGAAGTCCATATGATATGTATTGCATTAATGATTTATCAATAGATGTGAGATAAATATCAATGCATTTAAATGATATCATTAAATATCTTAAGTCATAGTATTATTAAGATTGAACATTGACAATATGCGGTAAGACTTATGAGTGTTATACTTTTGTTGTAAGATAGTAGTAGAAGATCTCACATCTATCGGCATGGTGATGCCAAAACAAGCACTCATGTGAATAATATTAGAAAACATATCATTGGACGTGACTCGTAATGAGAACTCATTTGGTTTAGTCTATGGGAATCTCATATGAGATGGATACAAATAGTCACGGTTATTTCACTAGAGTATTAGTGTCCATTGACATTTGTTTCGATGAGCTTAGTAAAAAGCTACATGTGAACGATTCGTTGGATGCATTAGGAATCTAATGGAGATAGGTGGATGACTCGAGATAGGATATATCATTCCTTATATGCTAAAAGAGTTATCATATTGCACTTCAATAAAAGTCTACTCATGAATTTAAGATTAATTAATTTTTCTTTTGATGATTCAAGGAGAATGTTTGTCTAAAAAAGTAGCAAAATAACATATGAGAGAAAATATGAATATACAATAACACATAAAAATGATAAAATCTTTTTAAAAAACAAATATATGAGATAATACTTTCAATCTATGAAAGTACGTAGATGAATAAATTATCTCGTAATTTTTTTTTAATATTTTTATGTTTTAACTATTATATATCCACAAAATAAAAGAGACATCCAAAATATATACCAATTCTAAAGAGTTTATATTATAAAAGCAATAATGCTAATTTTTAGACATCCAAAACATACTTAAATCAGATTTTGCTGATGTTGCAGCTAGTAGATATTGCAATAACTAAAGAACCTTATATTGTGTTGTGTAAAGCTAGCCATGAGTGATGGTATAGGTGCATGGTGGTTGATCCTAAAACTTTTTTATTTAGCTTGACGGTTGGCAGTTGTATTGCTTTTAGGTAGAGTTCGTTAGTGCTGCTTTGTATGGCTACTTTGAAAATTATACTATTTCCGATATTTAATTTATTTGGTTAATTAATTTCAAGTTTCAACTTCCAAATGGATTAGTCAACAGAGTAAAATTGGGTACAAACAGAAAATAACTAAATTAAGGACGTCTTTACATAATCCTTTGCAGAAAAATCCAACAACGTGGAAGATAAATTAAAGGATATTGTTGGATAAATTAAGTTCATACAATATTAATTGAAATTAGATATTGATAATAAAGTGCGTGAATTCCTGACTTTGTTGGCGAAGCAGTGTCTAATGCGCGTAAATCTTTGGTAAAACAATAGGGATAAAGTGGAAAAGGGAAAATCAAACTGAAAGAGACTTCATCCTTTTTTTTTCTTTTTTCTTTTTAAAAATGATCAAAAGAACATCAAAGTTTAACTAAATTAATGCAGTAAAGTCAAAAATGGGAATGAGATATTTTTTTCTTCAAATACTCTGCTGGTTGTTGCCTCCACCACAAGAACCGTTGTTTCCTTATTGGTAATATTTGTCACATATATTATTACATATCATATAATATTACAATCTCTAGCTACTTCCATGGACACCATCGTGACCTTTATCCTTTCATTGTTTTGCTTTTGGTAGTTGGTTTTTATCATCTCAAAAAATATCTCTCCCTCTCTCTTAAATTGTTTATGTTTTTTTGAATGTAAAAAATTAGATAATTCCGTTGCAAAAGGCACGTTACTTGTCAAAGATATATATTCTCAAATTAAAAAAAAAATTATAAACCTTTTCTTCTTCATCTTCTCCTTGTATATGCTTGTAAATTCAAATTCATCGGCTCCTTTGATTATAAAACTTTGAATGAAAAATGGCTACCAAGAATGACTTTTCTAATCAATTTATTATATATATATATATATCCATCCAGATTAAATTTATTATTTTTTAAAATAAATTATGAAACAAACGCTAAGAAGGAATGAACAATGGAAGTTTACTAAGAAAAAGATGTTCCAACAACCAATACCTTGGAGACCGATGAAGTGGACCAACAGTTGAACCTATTAAGTGGGGTACATGGGGTTCCTTAAATCCAGTAATGATGTGAGACTCCAACTTCCTTATCATTTCTTCAGCTTGTTGCACGTAGGCTATTTTGGGATGGTTGTGGCAGTTGATGTACGGCTCTGTATGCATACATGACGCTTTTTGCTTGAATTTCGACAGGATGTTTCAACATCAATATGCATCCTAACATTCCTTCCTGGACCGTCAGATAGTATGGTAAGTTGTGATTAACTTGTTAAAGATTGGGCAAAACTACAATGTATGCTATATCGTCATCATGAAATATGTTAGTGGATCCATACCTACCAAGTTGCTGACATAATAGTAATTAACACGTCGATAACTTATTTGTTCTTTTTTTTTTTTTTAAAGATATTCATCTTCTACATTGAAAATATGACTAATCATATTTGAAAAGAAAATAATAAATTTTTAATTATTTTTAACAAATACGATTTCAGAATTTAAATCTATACATTAACAAAAAATTCGTCCGAAAATCAATTTATTTATTGTTAAACTAATAACTCTTTGGTAATAACTTATTATTTCGAACCAACAAAAACATTATAATATTATAATTAAAATGTTACTTCAATAAAAAAACATAGATCAATTTTTTGATTATGAATTGGCAAGTAATTAAGCTAACTTAAAATAATTAACAAGTTAATTTACTCGAATCAATTTATATGTTATTGTAATCATGTTCGAAACGAAAACGATAAATTTTTAATGTTTTCTAGCAAAAATGATTTTAGAATTTGAATCTGTATATTGACAAAAAATTCGTCTAAAAACCAATTTGTTTACCGTTAAACTAATAACTTGCTATTTCAAACCAATAAAAACATTATAATATTATAATTAAAATGTTACGTCAATAAAAGAACATACTGACTTTATAATCAATAGTTCAATAAGTCGATTGACAGGTAGGATAACTTAAATAATTAACAAGTTAATTTACCGAATCAATTTATAAGTCATCAAATTACAAAACACAGCTAGAGTTATGGTTAATTTACACAAGTAATTTATAATAATCATAATTAATAATACTCTCAATCAGTATTAGCTAGTAAGGAAAGGAACCATAATGGTTTGTGGGAATCTTTCAGTTGGTTCATTTTTTAATTAGTGGAATAAAAATCTTTTTGACTCACAAATTTTGATAAACACAACCGATTAGTAAAGGTATCTAATAATATTCGCCAAATGCCATGCCCTTGTGGGGTCTCGCTAGCGCGTAATAATCTTGGTTAGAAGTTTGGCAGCCAACACATGCAAGGGATGCCATGCAAAGCCTCAGGTGGGGGCGTCGGGAAGTTTCCTTGCTCTTGCTGCCTACTCCACCAAAGCATGCATCAGTCAAGGTAATTGCTATAGTTTTAACAAATTTGTACAGGCAAAAGCATGGGCTGAACCTTCTGATTTCTTGGCCTTGCATGTGGATAAATCAGTGCCCTGAAACCATGGAATTCAATGGTGATTGGTGGCCAAGTCAATGGACGGCCAAAAAATTGGATAAACTGTTTGTCTTGGTCCTACAACTTAGAGAGAAAGTGAAAAGAGCCATATCCTAATACAAAAAATCTGGCCACTGCAATAGACATGTAATTATTACATTTTTAGAAGATCGCCATCGTTGGAAGATAAGATAATTAACACTTGTTGATCAACTTTTGTAGGAAGTAGCATGTGTGGTGTTTCCAGAATCTACAGCAATGATCGATGGATGATTCAATGGAAAAGTTTTACGCGTTTAGGGTTCCCACTTTTTGAAATTATTTAGGATTAAAACGATATCCACTGATGATTCACCTTTTGAATCATTTAACGCTTTTTGTTTCATTCTCGTTGCACTTTTACACGATTATAACGAAGAAACATACCACTTGTTTAACCATAGACTGTTGGATGTCATAGCACTTTCACCACTGTAACTGAAGAAAGAAATATTTTTAGGCCGATTGGTTATAAAGGACTGTGAATTATTAGTCAATATAATAGTTTTTTTTGTTGATTTTTTTTTTAAAATTTTGTAATTATGTTTTTTTTTCATCTTTTTGATTAATTTCAGACGAAACATAGAAAACATGCAGAATCATTAAAATAATCATAAATATTCTGAAAATCCTAAATCTATGACACATTGTTATTTTACACCTCAACGTATCTTTCACTTACGTTAGTTATGGCTTGAGATTGATTGAGATTGATGAACAAAATGAAAAAAACGTAATTGTAAATAAAAAAATTGAGAACTGAAATGAAAAAAGATTAATTATTTTTCTTCCGATGACCAATAGTTCAAAATATTTTACATTCAATTAGTTATATTTTTATTTTCAATACATCACATTAATATAAAAGTATTTTTAAAATCGAAAAGAGATATAAATGTTATGTAAATTGATTCAAAAATACTTTTAATAGTGAAAGTCTTTCAAAATTGTAACCAAACAAAGAATTATTTGTCTATTTTTTTGATGATGATGTATATTGGCGACAAACATGCACTCTTGTTTTTGATGATGATGTAGCGTCCCAAATTAATTGACCCATCATGAAGTGATCCCATGGCCATCCATGATCCAAGTGGTCTCTCGACATTTGTAAGATCGGTGTCTGCCTCACGAATACCAAATTCAGTTCCAAATGGATCCCATGCCACGGTCCATATGGTCTCTCCCCATTTGCTAAGACAGAGGTGTCTGTCTCATAATGACTATCCAATCATATAACCTGAAACGGCTGCCTTCCTACGACGAGGATTTCTCCATTTCGTTCTGTCTCAACAAGATTTTTACGCTTAGGGAACTAAAATGGAAGTTGCTCATCACCTCTTTCCTTGTGCCAACCAGTCGTATGGGCGCTTTCTAAAAGATATCAACTACTAATTAACTGAAAAAGAAAATACTCCATGGTGAGTAAAGTTTGAAAATTCAATGCTTCATGGAAATGCTTGTTCATGTTAGGCCCTGAGGCCCAAATCTCTTCAATAGGCCTAAGTGATGGCTGGAAAATGATTATTATGGACGGGAAAAACTTTATCTAGGGTTTGGAATAACCTTTATCTCTCTGAACCAAATAAAGTTGAATTTTTTTTTCTTCTGGTTAGACTTACATGGATGGAAAAAATCAGAGTTTTAAACAGTAATGATGAACCAATTTGCCTAAGATTACAAATTAAAGGCACTAAAGTCAATAGTCCATGTTCCTTAGAGCTTGCGTCATTGCTGCTTTAATTTCCCTTCTTCTTTGGTGGGAACTGATCACTGAGTACATAAGAATTCTCAAAGGACATATGGGCTTTCTTGGCCATACAATGGGCCACCCGATACCTATAAATTGTAAAACCCAAAGGGGAAAAAATCTACCAATTCAAACAATGTTTGGCGCGTGGCAATTTTTACAATTAGGTCCGTTATTTTATAGCTTTTCAAAGTTTTCTTAATAAACATTTTAGTCTTTAATTTATAAAAATTTTACAATTAAATCCTTCCATGTTAATTTTTTTTTTTTTCCAAAAAAATTAGTGGGTATCCATAGAGTATAAAGTCTACATCCAGAAATAATTTTTTTTTTAATTTTTAATTTTTATCATTACTCACTTCAATACCTATTACATATTATTAATAAGTGCATATTAAATAAAATAGATACATGTTTCGTAACTATCCTATATATTAGCATCCTTAGATCCAACTCTTGTAACTAAACTCCTGAAAGAATTCCATTCATCCCAAAAGAACGTTTTCTCAGCTTGATAAAAGATAAGGAAAAAAGAAAAAGGAAAGAAAGACAGAAAATTTCATTCTTAGATTATAACTACTTCTTGCATATAATATAAAGTTAATTTTCTCCAAAAGAATTCAAATATAAAATAAAACATAATTAAATAATTAAACATTAATTGGTCCACACAAACTAAAAACAAAAGATCACCAGCAATATCACATATATACAATTGTCCACAAATAAAAATTTCACCGCACACTTTAACCACAAAAAAACTCCTCCACCTCCACCATGGTAAATTTCATCCCCTACTCTCTCATTTCTTGCTTCTTTTTTTTTTTTTTTAATTATTGAGAAGCATGTCTTGCCCAAATTGAACAAAATAAAAACAATGGAGATCAAGAGTTAATGTAAAAACCAACCTTAATTTGACCATTACCCTTGTTAAAATCCATTCAGCTACGTACAAATATATGTCTGTCCCTAGTTGGTGAAGGAGGCAACCTTGAAGAAAAACTCCTCAAAGGAGACTCAGAACTCCCATGAGTACCATTATCACTACCTTGACCTTCATCAAAATTCAGGGCATAACTGGTAGGATCATAGTGAAAATCCGCTGATACAGAGTGACGCCTCCTATGTCCGTGTCCGTGCTTTCCCGTACGTGACAAAAAGCTTGTCTTATTAACCTTTACATCCTCACGAGACTCAACATTCATCTCCTCTTGCACCACTTGATCGTCAAGCATTTCATGATTAATATCTTTCTCCACTGCACTAAATGACACATGATGGCGGCGATGGTGGTGATTGTGTTTGCGAAATGGAGACAGGCAAAACGTGGATTTTAGTTTCTGCGTTAGAGATGGAGAATTTGGCTCACTTATTGCTGCCATCGTGAATATGTTTTAACTTTGTGCTTTTGTGCGAGAGAAAGACAAGAAGAGAGGAATATAATTTTTTGTGTGTTTTTTTTTAGTGTAGATGCGGTTGGTGCGGAAAAGCTGAGATTTTTAAGTACTGGAATTTGGAGGTTGATCAGGGGAAAATGTACGATCGTGAAAAAATGGGGCTACCTAGCTGGCTAGTGGTTGTTTTGGATGCGGCCGGATTTTGGGGCGCGTGGAGATATTTGTGGGATGATTTTTTTTGTTGATGGTTTCAATGTGGAGATAATAAAAAATTCAGTACCTATACTTTGCAAATTTTTTGTTTATGTTTTTTTTTATTTGATCAGTTCCTAATTTGCATTTAAAAAAAGAAGTGATATATTAAGTTATAAAAACAAATAAACAAACAAATAGAGGGAGCTCTTATCTAGCAATGGTTTAAGAACTTTTGAAAAGGGTTGTTTTATGGGAAAAAAAAAATTCTAAATTGATCAATTTTTAAAAGTGTAGGAACTTAAATAGAAACATTTGCATATAGTAACTCTTATAAAATTTTGATAAACTACATATAGGCACCAAATTAAATTTGATAACTCATTTATCAACATGTTTTATATATATATATATGTGGTTGTTATAAATAGGGATCGTATAATCCATTCAGCTGTTAAACGTCAGAAGGATTAGCATTAATAGTTAGCGAAACAAAAAAAAAAAAATCATATTAATATGATAAACTAAATTGATTATCGTTATAAAAATGAGGGACTACTTTACCCTCTTCTATAATGAAGATTTGAACATGTTCTATGCTATGTGCATGTGTACGTGAATGAAACATGCGCGGCGCACTGAAATGAACGGTTTTTTTTGTAGGATCACAAAAGTTAACGTTGGTGATAGAAAGATTCTCAATCCATTTGGATTCTTGAATCTGATTTTTTCAGGATAATGAGATTTTAAAAGAATTCAAAACTTTTTCCAAACTTGTTATAATTATAAGAAAAAAAATTCAGAACTATTTACTATTTTAAGGGATAGAACGCAGAGTACAGAATTTAGATTTCATCTATCAAGTTTCACTTACGTTTTTTTTTTTTTTTTTTTTCCAAAGCATACGTTTGCTTTTAAGAAAAAGTAAACTGCAACAGCAACGTGTGTTATTACTCAATTTGCTAAGCGTTCACATCTAATTTTTATTTTTATTTTTATTATTATTGTTATTTTTTTTTTAATGAAAAGTCTATCATCTAAATTCATTTATTAACATTATAAAATATAATTTAATTAAATTTTGGTAATAATTTATGGAAATCAAAATAAAAACAAATTCACACTATTCACTACCTAATGCATGCAGGCCAGAAGAATTATCAGTTTTTCATAAATTAGCACTATTCTTCCATTCACATAAAAATAAAATCCATTAAGGCAGTGAATAATTTCTCTACAGGGCTATATTTTCATTAATTTTAATTCAATCTTTTCCCTTGTTTTAATTCTTCTGGCAATGAACTAATGATACAGGTAGGTTATTAGGGTGAAAAGAAAAAATAGATTATTATATATTTGATGTATGGATTTTATTTTATTTTATTGTCTTAATTTTTATTTTTGCTATTTTAGTGTGTGAATTTTTAAATTTTTTCTAATTAAGTATTTTGTAAAATACATGCTGATTCAACTGTTACGTTGTTCATATCATGTGCATAAATATTTTATTTTTTTAATCAAGCGTCTATAGTTTTACTTTATTTTTTCCATTTGAGTACACGTACTTTTATTTTTTATTTAATTGTATATACTTTTTTTTAGTGCCTTTACTTTCTAAAAATAAAAAATTATCGATTAGTGATATTTATTTTGAAATATAATAAATATCCACTTTGCAATCTTGCATATGCCATATTTTGATCAAATTAAATAAAACATTAAAAATTATAACAACAAACAATAATAACAATATGTTCAATTTAAAAAAATAATAATTAAGAATAATAGATAACTTGTCAAAATAAATAAAGCCAAATTACTCAATTTCCTCCACTTTGTCACAAAATAAAAATATCCACCATTAATTTTAAAACATAAAAAATTGGAAAATTCATCATTCAATAAAGATGATTTCTTCATACAATTACATATATCCTATTTTCTCAATAAAATCTTTGATCTCACATACACACACACATATTTTCATACCAAACTTCATCAAAACCCTACATTTTTTTATTATTGTTTTTGCCTTTTATTTTCTTACCTAGTCAATATGGTCAAACAGTTTTTTTTACATTTTTTTATTATGTTATTTTAATTTGAATAATTTTTTAATTTTAGTTAACTTGGTCAATTATTACCTATATAAGATTGCAAAATAGAGATTCGTTATATTTAAAAATTAATAACTTGCATCAATAAATTTTTAAAAATACAAATACTCAAATACGAGAAGAAAATAAATATAGTTATTCAAATAAAAAAACACATATAATCAAATAAAAAAATAAAAATACACGCACTCGTTTAAAAATAAAATAAAATATTCACGCATGCGTGACAAATATATCGGTATATTGATATGTCAATTTAATACTCGAGTAAATATATATTTCACAAAATCTAACACAAACACTTTATTAGAAAAAGAATTTAAAAGAATTATACACTCAAATAAACAAAAATAAAAATTTTAACAGACAAATAAAAAAAATTTGGCACCAAATATATAATATTCTCGCATTTTCCAATATTCTTTGGTCAAGGGCTTACAATAATATTCGTTTTCTTTATTATCTTCTTCCTAAACTCACAGTTTCCAACCCTGTAAATCAAACTCTTCCTAGACATTAATCACATTATATATACCATATTTTCCTTTCACTGTTTCTCTTTTACCCCTAGCTACCTACATCAAAGTTTGAAATGTCTCTGAACAAATAGAATACACTGCTAGCTTATGTTTATCTGAAACATTTTCAACACTTCTTAACGGGGATCTATTACGAATAACAATCAAAAGGATATATGCATTCCACAACTTCTTCAGTAAGATGGTGTATAGTTCATAAATCGATCTGAATTCGAGGTCAAATGATCAAGAACCATCACCACTCTAATGCTTCATGTCTTGTCTCAACACAGAAACACATTGTTCTTTTCTTCTTTGTGAAGTTAAAAGAGTGAAATTATTTGCTGCTTCAATCTTTGTGGATTCCGGTGCCCAGTTTGGGTTCTTGGGCCCTGAATTTTATACCCAAAAAAAGAAAATTAAAAAGAAGAAAACCTAATATAGTTTGAGGCAATTTGAGCCGAGCCTAAACCCTAATGCAAGAAGGGCCGAAGGGGACTTTTTGATTGAGAAAGAGTTTCATGCTGAGTATAAAGTAAAGCCAGTTACAAAGCCCACTCTGGACAAGTTAAATTTCTCTTTAGGAATAGAAAAATGGCAAAAAGCTTGGGCCTAAGAGCTCAGCAAATTATAGAAACAAGGATGAAAGGCAGGAAAAATGGGGTCTCGACCGAGCTTGGATTTGTAATCTCTCGATAGTACTATTTGCTTCCATAAACATCAAAGCCCAAATATCCCATGTTCATAATGAGTAAGGAAAACCATCTTTACTGGACCCCAAAAGAATTAGGGTTCTTAGGAATCAAATGAACCTACTAGTTCTAGGCCCATGCTGTCCGAGCTTTACCTTAAAAAAATCCCATTTGATACCTCATATAAAGCAAGCACACAGAGATTTCTCAAAAAGGAAAAAGCAAAGCACACAAAGATAAGCAAGTCAGCTGGCTATCTTTTGTCAAGTAGCGAATGCTTTATAATGACTTTATCAAATCAAAAGGCATCTAGTGCATCTGAAAAGATGGTGTGATCTGGCTCCTTTTGGGGGCATTTTAACCTTTTTTAATTGCCTATGCACTTATTCATTGATGCACTAAAACATTCTCCCAATTAATTATATGGTCATGTAAAGCCATATAATCGTTTGAATCTTCTCGTTAGGATCGTTTCACATGACAGGGAATATTTTCCAGGTCTTGTGTAGGAGTAGTAAAATATATTTGTTAGGTGACGATGACCACCATGTTAATTGGTAAGTTTGGATGATTTTGCTTGTTCATATTGTTTAATTTATTGTGCACTTTAGCATTAATCATACAACTTTTGTGTTTTTGTCCTCTTACTTATGCCACAAGTATGCCATTCTTGTCACCAATTACTATATATATATATATATACCTACCAGATAAAATGAATCGCCTGACTATGAATGCCTCTTTAAAAACAAAGTGCTAAAACCAAACTTATCGTGTTATCCACCCGGATTGTGGTTAAGTTGGCAAAAAGAAAATTTCTAGGAGTTTGATTGCCTTTAAAACCAGAAGATACTTTAAAACATAGTTTTAGATCATGGTTTTGAAAACTTAATACCAAGCTCACATGAGAATTGAGATGATTCAATTTGTGTAATATGCTGAGAAAATTAAAGGTTGTTTTGGGTTGGTTTTCTTTGTTCAGAGTATGAAATCATGCAAATAATGCAGGAACCAACCCCCACGAAAGAAAAATTAATGATTCTACTCTACCATTTATTACAGATGTTCTGAACAAATTCATCCAAGTAAATTGATAATCTCCTAAAACAGTACTAAAAATTCATTAGTTATTATTATGGTTATCAAATCTATATGACAACCCTCGAATCATGATTTTTTACGAGATGACTTTCAATCTAAACTAATAATGTGAGTGATATAATTCGATGGATATAGATTCAATAATGAATAACTATAAAACATGTTTTTAATCGCAGAGATGACTTTCAATTATGGTTAGAGGATTCTTTGATCGCAAAAAAAAAAAAAAAGAAAAAAAATAATTTTGAAAAGAAATGTTTTCGAAGTGATGGATTGACAATATTGTTTTTAATCGAGGAATGAAATAATAACAGTTATGTTCCACTGATATGAGTAACTTATATATATATATATATATATATATATATATATATATATATATAAAATTCAAGGTTGAACCTATCTTCTAAATAAAATATATAATAATTATTATTATAATAATAATTAAAACTAACGGTTACTTTTACAAAATTTGTGATTCCATTAACAAGAAAAAGCAAGTCACCCCCCAGCTAATCCCTACCAAAAACCAAGAAAACTAACGTACTTCAGTATTGGTTAGTCACGTGGCTCATCCTTGTAAACAAGTTAAGTGTGGGGCGTTTTGTCTGGTTAGACACGCTCATTATTTTTATTTTTTATTTTTTGTCTTAATATGTTAATGGTCTGGGCAACGTATCGGTGCCTTGAAGCTTCCTTGCCTCCTTCCTCGTCATTTCTTTTCAACTTAAAATAATTTGATACTGTTCAACTTCTCCAGTGCCTGTCTCTGTTATTTGATTTTTTCAAACCATACTTTTACGGAAGTGACTATTGACAATTATTGAAAGGATTGTTCTTGCCAAAACATTAGCCTTTAAATGGTATGGACCCTCTTTTGTCTTCCACTAAACTTTTATTGAGTCGCCACTGTTTTCTCTTTGTTTTGTTAGATCCAAATCAGGTTTTCTATCTTGCCCATTTCTTTAATATAGGATTGAAGTCTTTATATTTGCTTCTTCTTCCTTATTTCAGGCAGCTTGAAGGAGGCAGAGATAAAAATAACAAGTCTTTTGTTTTATTTCTTTGAGGCAATTTTGTTTCTTGGTGTGGTTTAGCGATGGCTGGTATGTTGCCTGGTGTTGAATGTGCTCGAAGAAGGAGGTTCCATCAAAGTGGAGATCCACTTGGTGTTCCAGCACATGGCTGGACAAGAAGGCCATCTTTTTGTTTGTACACAAGCAGCCATGAGAGTTCTCATGGTTCAGTCTCTTCTCTGGTATCCTCTCTCTTTCCAAAGATCTACCTTTTCATTTCCTTTCTTTTCTTATGGTTTTGGTAATAGTTCCTAAGATTTCCTTTTTCTTTTTCTTTTAATTGAATTGAGAAGCAAAAGCAAAGAAGCATATTAAATCAGGCATACGACGATGAGAAGCTGGGAGGATTGGCAAGAGAAGCCAAGGAAAGATTAGATGAGAGGCTAAGAATGCAAAAGAAGAAATCAGAAACCACAAGGTAGACAATAGCTTCACAATTTTTATCCGGTGCATATTAGCACTGTCCATATGGTCCTTGCTAATACACACCACAGCAGCCCAGTCAAAATCATCAAATCTAGTACGTCAATTATGTTCTATGTCCTGAGTTATTTTTGTCTGAATTCAGGCACAAAAGCACAGGAAATCTGAGAGGCGTGGATAGCAGATCAATGGTACTAAGGGAGTTGCAAATGGAGGTGCATGGTCCAAAGAGGAGTGGGTCTAAAAGGTTCAATTGGGCCAAACTGAGCTGGAAGGCTGCTGACCAAGATGAGTGCACCATCTGCCTCGATCGGTTCAAGTCTGGTGAGACCCTGGTGCACCTGCCATGTGCGCATAGGTACCACCCTAAGTGTTTGGTGCCATGGCTAGAAAACAATGGCCATTGCCCTTGTTGCAGAATGGAAATACGTGTTGAACTTTCCTAGAATAAGCATAGTTCTTTCTTATTGTTCTCTTTGTAGATATACCAATTTGGGATTTTGAAAGCAACTCTGTTCGCTATATAACAGAGCAATTTGGGTGTGACAAGACATGTAATGCTTATCTTCTGTGTGTGTGTGTATCATTTCCAATTTTCCACATTAGCAAATGGAGATTCTGGGAAATTAAATCTTCGTTATTACATCGTAGTGTGCAATGTTTTTTTTTAAAAAATATCTGGTAACTTATGGGTGTAATATAATGTGAAATCATGGTTCAAGCTTTTGTTGTTCTTCTATTTCAACCCACTTGTAAAGGGCTATTTGGTGGCCTAGCATTTAACTTAATTGGCACCCATACTTTTTTTTTCCCCTAATTGAAGATATGTAAATATGAAATGAATTAGGCATGTAACACAACCTCATTTGAACATTTTCTAATTGGGTTAAAGGTCTAGAATATTTTTTTACTGTCTTATTTGTCCTATTCGTATCCTTCTATTAATTTTTTCAACAACCGTGTTTCTCTATTCTTAAGTTGCTTCTTAATTTCATCCCTTCCGTCAAATTTTTCTATAACCGTATCAATTTTTGGTGAGAAACTCACAAGATGCTAACACGTGAAATTTTTTTCCAAAAAGAAAAAATGAAAAAATCCTAAAAAATATGAAAAAATAATTAAAAAAATTCCAAAATCTTCTCTTTTTCTCTACTTTTAGGTACATAAATAAATAATTAATTACATATGTTATTTTTTTTTTTGCTTTCTTTCAAATTTTGAAAAAAAATAAAAAAAATCCTAAACTATCCTTCTTTTTACCTGCCTTTTGCTTTTATTCTTATGTTATGAAAAAAATTTCATAATTTTTTTTTTTGGTTTGGATTTGAAATAAATTTTCATAATAAATTTCTGAAATAAATAATTTTTTTTTTACTTATGTTCTTTCCTATACATAAAAATAGTTACAAAATCTTAAAATGCCCTTCTTTTTATCTGCCTTTTGCTTTTATTCTTATGTTATGAAAAAATGTCATACTTTTTTTTTTTTTTGGGGGTTTGGATTTGAAATAAAATTTCATAATAAATTTTTGAAATAAATAATTTTTTTTTGGCTTATGTTCTTTCCTATACATAAAAAATTTTCTTTTTTGATTTGAATTCAAGAGAAAGCAAAAATAAAAATAAAAACGAGGAATTAAATTAATAATTTATTTCTACACATAAAAGTGGAGAAAAAAGAAGAAGCAGCATTTCATAATTTTAGTCCAATTTCTAGCAGCAAGTGATTCTTATTGCCCCAAAGATCACTCTCTATCCAATCCATATTTGCCCCACGCCATGACATTCAGCTTCAAATAATGCACTTTTTTGTCTATAAAGTGGGCCATAAAATGGCGAATTTTGGCATGGTAATTTTGAGATTACCTCTTCTTTTTACCATATTAAAAAGATAAACAGTCACGCTTGTATGATTGTTACTGAGAGAAAAATATCTAGCCAAGTCTGGCTAAATAGGTGAAATCATCTCATTTTATATATTTTTAATTAAAATTTTATATCTTATATCTTATATCTTTTTTTTTCTTAAATTTCTTAGTTAAAAAAACTCAATTTATTCTTTATTATGTATTGATTTTTAAACAAAAACTTACAATAACCTAAATAAAAAATTTAATTCAAAATAAAAAAAATGATTTTATAAATCTATCATAATGTTGCATCGAAAAAATAAAAATAGAAAACAATAGATATAGAAACTTGTATAAAAATCAACAAGTGATTTTCTTTTTTATTCTTATTTATTGTTTATGACAAGATTATTTTTTTAAAAAAAGTATGTACATTTAATTTATATATATTTATTAACAAAACAATTAATTATATTAGCATAAACAACTATTTTTGAATAATAGAGTGATTCTTCTAAAACATTACTTTTTAAAAATTGAGTTAAGAACTTAAAAAAAAAAATAACGAATAATTAGTATTATGTGCACAAATATATAATTAATTTACAATAAAAGTAATGATTCATTATGCTTCTCAGGCGAACTTTTTTATTTTTAAAATAAAAAAAATATTCATATTCAAGTTATGTAAATTTTTTTTCCTTTTTTATATTTCCTTTTTGGTTCGGCATGAAAGTTCAATTTGATTGACAATGGAGTTACCTCTAATTAAACTTAATATACAGCTAGCAGTATCTATGTGATGGTAATTAATGCATGGTTATCTATTTTTCTCCACATAATAGTGTTTGTTTCTATATAAATTTTGATAATCAAGTTACGAACATGTAGGCCATTTTACTAACTAATTAACCACGACTTAACCAGGAACGTTCTTAGCCTTTGATTGAAGGTTATAAAAAAATCGTACAAGAAATGAGCAGCGTGTGGTCGAATAACGTCACCATTAAATCTCCATCGCTCAAATCATTTCCTAGGGGGAAGTTGCCTACCTCTCCCATCACATCCTTTCCAAAAGGCAGGTTTCCCTACTTAACCTCTCCCATCGAAGAATGCCTTCCCTACTTAACCTCTTCCCATCTCACTCGCTTGATAATATACAGCTGTCATGAGTTGGTGTCATTCCCAGATCAAGAATTGCCCAATCTTACCGCTTTACAAATATTTCGTTGTAAGAAATTGAGGTCTCTACCCGATCATATGGACAGCCTTCGACAGTTATCGATCTGCAATTGCCACCGTCTGGTGTCCTTTCCAGAGACTGGTTTGTCTCCTAGGCTAATTTCACTGACCGCGACGGGCTGCAAGAATCTGAGATAGCCAATATCATGCCATGTCGATTGCAGGATGTATTTACTCGAAATTATTAAATTGCAATAATTTGAGAGTAAAATTTGCCATTAAACTCTTCATAATCATAAAAGCACGCAATTTAACTAGCTTATTTTGTAGTCAGCACATTTGCAATAACAAATTGAAAAAAATAAAAAAATCCAACCATTTATGCCAACAAGAAATACCACTTATAATATCTAGCTAGACACGTTATTTCATCCTGGATTAAAATCTCTCAAAATCCGTGTAGTGTAAGAGCATCATATCTATTGCAAAACAAGAGAATTCTTAGTTACGTATACGGATTTTCAGTAAATTATAAATTAGTATTTTTGTTTAGAAAAATGGATTAATCAGCCTCTTTTTTTTTTTTTTTCAAAAACTAAGAGTTTATCCCTTTAAGTTTTAATTTCGTTAATGATTTAATTTTTCATTAGTCTTTCATTAAACTGATGATTTTTGTTTTCAAATTCCCTTTATTTTGATTTTTAGTTTGAGAGGGAGAAAGAGAATGAGTGAAAAAAGAAAAATAATATACATACATATATATAGACACACACATATATATAAGCAATTTGGTTATTTTTTTATAATTTTTTTAATTCATACATCCAAAATTTTTAACAGAACTAGTCTATTAAGATTTGAATCTATGATCTCTTATTGCAAGAAAACTAGAGCTATAAGCTTTTTTGTAACCGTTTGGTTATTGATGGAATTAAAATGAAAAATACTAAATGAATAATTTTTAAAATTAAAGAGACAAATTAATTTATTTTTTGAAAAATGAGGGAACAATTTATAAATTACTTCACATTTGAACCCCTTTTTTTTTTTTTCCTGACACATGCAAGAGAATATTATTGAATTTGGTCAGTTATATCTTCACTACATTGTGAACAAAAATAGGAAAAAATAATGGAATTATTCATGATCAGATTAAAATTTATATCTTACCTCCAAATCACCAATGATTCCCATCTCAATGAATTTCGTTTTCTCCATAAACTTTGCTCTCAACATATTAATTATAAAATTCAAAATAGTCATAGTAATGGGAACAAATTTGGTTGCTTGTATAGAGGGACTTTTGGGATCAAGTACGTAGAAGACTTCTATAAATACCTAAAGACGGTGAGCAGTTTATTCCAACTCTCTCCATCACAACCAACTCCTCCATTTTCACTCATCAGCCACAGATCAATGGAATTATTGTAGTCAGGAAAAATTGAGGACTGCTAGTGAGTCTTTGTTTACTCACAATTGGTGCAACTTCTGACGTACGAACCACGAATAGGATTTGGCAAAATTATCTTTCTAAAAACCTCGGTGACCATATTAAAAAGCAAGGATGAAATCGAATTGATTAAGAAACTAGCCTTCCGATATCTCACCCTTTATTGATACCAAATGCATGATCACATGAGCTGTAGTCACATTGATTCTTCTTGGTCGATTCCATAAAATATTTGGAAGGTATGGTAGCTAATGATGTTGGAAAAACATGACCGAAATAGATAATAAGTTAAGTATAATGAAAAGAGTGTTTTCAAATAAAATATTTAAAAAAGATACTTTATAAATAGATCTTTTAAAATTATATATATATATTTAGTGTTTTCCGATGAAGAGAGTGTTTTTTTTATTAAATATATATAAATTTATATATATAAATTTTTTGTTAAATATATATAAATTTCACCCATTAGTTTCTCTTTAAAAATGTCAATTTGAGCTATTTACAAGAGATCTATTTATAAAATATATATTTTTCAACATGTAATAAACATTTCACTTAAAAAACACATTTTCACCTAATCCGATTGATTTTCAACGCATGGGTGTAATACAAATCGACCTACCATTGCCACCCACAAACGTGAATAATTCGAATGTTGTGAAATAAGGAATATGTGTCTTGTAGATCAATTGTGGAGCGGCCATATGTTATTTTTATTGGTTCCATCGGTTTTCAATCCAATGAAGTAGGTGAGCAATAATAAAATTAGGGTTTATAGTGAGAGAACACTAGTGTTTGGATAAAGACCCGAATGTTTAACAAAGCTTTGACAGGAAGTCGCGGAAGAATGCTTATAATGACGTCTTCGGGAAGATTGGATTCGGGGAGAAAATGAATTATAATTCAACTATAGATCTTATCGATTATTATCTCCGAACCATATATTTAAATATTTTATTTAATAAAATATAAAATAAGGAATATGTGTCTTGTAGATCAATTGTGGAGCGGCCATATGTTATTTTTATTGGTTCCATCGGTTTTCAATCCAATGAAGTAGGTGAGCAATAATAAAATTAGGGTTTATAGTGAGAGAACACTAGTGTTTGGATAAAGACTCGAATGTTTAACAAAGCTTTGACAGGAAGTCGCAGAAGAATGCTTATAATGATGTCTTCGGAAAGATTGGATTTAGGGAGAAAATGAATTATAATTCAACTATAGATCTTATCGATTATTATCTCCGAACCATATATTTAAATATTTTATTTAATAAAATATAAAATCCACAATCAATTTTAGTACATATTTAAATATGTATTTATAGCATTGCATTAGTAGTAGTTAACTTTTGTAATTAATCGATTAATATTTCCTTATGCACTGAATGATATTAATTTTAATGTATAACTTTAAACTCAAAGCTTGTAAATTCTTCTATTCCAACTTTAAGATATAAAATCTTGATATTAATTTTGAAGAATGAAATATTTTAAATAAATAATTCTTAGTCAAGATTCGTGACTTGAATTTATATAATTAAGAGATTTTTATTATTTTTTCAAAATTATTCATAAGATTTTTTATGTTGAAATGTATTTTTTTTTCCTAAAAGTGGTAAAATATATCATCCATTGGAGAGTATGATTGGATATAAAAATTTATAGTTTTGGATTTGTACGTTTATTTTTTATGTTACAAAGAAGAGATAATTTAAAACTAATTAGGAGCACTAGTGAGAAAAAGATATAAGTGTTAGTCGAGGTACAAATTCATTAGCATCTTTATTTTATAGATCAAGATTAATTGAAAAGTCTTCTACTATATAACTATATATTAATTGATTAATTTTATTTTTTTATTTAATAGTTATCTCGTATTTTTAGATCAATTTACACAATATCAAGAGTAAACTAATATATATATATAGTAGAAAATGAGGAAAATTTCTCCATTTATATGTGAGAAATTTTGTATTACTTCAAAAGTATATTTTGTAGTTTTTTTTTTTTTTTTTTTCAACCGGAAACATATAGTCTGTGGTCCCACATGCGGGCCCGAAGGTTATCCGCCGAAAATCCAATTCCTATCGCGAAAACGACATCGTGTTACTCCACTAAATTATTGCCGACCTTTCACTCCATCTCCCCTTCTTCTCCAACGGCTAGTTCCAAGTGACCGTTTCATAACCCAAAAATTCAAACTTCAAGAACCCTAAATAAACACCACACTAAAACAAAAAAGAGAGAAAAAAGAAACTGAAACACTTCAAAATCTTCATTCAAATCACAACAGCTCTCTCTGGCACCCCAAAAAAATCACAATTTTTGGTTAGCTAAATTATTCACTTGTACAACTCAAGAAACAAGGAAAAGATCATCAAAAATGGTATACACATACACACCAGCATACTATTCTACTCTCCATGACTCGATCACCTCTATTTGCAAGACAATCCTTCCTTTTTCCTTCAAGAAAAAGAGATTGACCGCTGCAGAACACAGGCTCTCAAAGCTGCAATCTGATAACTTGAAGTGGCAGCAAGACTCATTCCATCAGATATTGAATTTGATGGGGTTGCACAAAGAAGGTATTTTATCTGAAAATGAGGTTTATGCTTTCAAGACTCATTTGATCGAGACGCTTATTGCTTCTCCACCTGAACATGAACAACAAGTCATTTTAAGAGATAAATTGGTCTTCTTGCAGGTAAATTTTCTAATTTTAGAACCTAAGTTGTATTTATTTCAAAATTTTCTCTTCAGACAAGCAAATGGAACCAACTTTCTGTTTTTATCTTTTTGATTTGTTTTGGCCCTTTTTAGGAGTTGCTTTATGCAAAATGTATATCAGAAGATGAGTACCATTCATCAAAGAGGCCTTTGTTACAGAGGCTAGCGGTACAAGGGGCAGAAATTGGGTCAAGCGATGTTATTGTTGCTAGGCCAAAAGACACAAAAGAGAACACAGATGAGGAGTGGTCGATTATTGATTTAAAAGATGAGAAGAGCTTGATTGGTAAAGAAACTTTGCAGTCGAAAAACAGATCAAAGCCTAACTCAGCGATCAAGCAGATCAAAGGAGCAGCCTCAGTTCTTGGCTTTGGATCAGCTCAGAAGCTAAGCAAACACAGAGAAGAAAAGAGTATTTTTGAAATTGAAGCAAGACGGGCCTCCTCTGGCCAGGTTAGTTATGAGAGAGAATACCCACTTCGGGATGGTCATTTGAAGGATAAGGAAAGTGAGACCAAATCAATTCTCATGCAAGCAAGCTTACAAAATGAGTCTGCAAAAGAAAGTGGAAGCAATGATAAGTCCAAGAGGAAACCCTTTAAGACTCTGTTCCAAAAAGAGCCAAGAGAGGGAGATGGTGGTGGTGGAGATAATGGTCTTAATTTTGAAGAGAGAACCTCAAAATCGGCAAAAAAACAATGGGGTTTTGAAGGGTTTAAGAAATGGAAGAAAAACGATTCAGATGATGAGACTGCTCCTCTGCCTCTTAACACTGAAAGATCTGACAGTGAGGCTTATTCAGGATCTTGCCACCTTGTTAATAGTCCCATTGGAGAGGGACCAGACACTATACAGATTAAGAAAAAGCTGCATTCTAATGGTTCTGCTTCAGATTTTTTCATTGATAAGGTTCGATCTTGACACTTCATATAATTTTGTTTCTACATCCTTTACTTTTAAACCTTAGCTTATGCCTCTATCTGTTGTGAATTATTCAGGTTTTAGGGGACAAGATAAAGATTCAGCTATCAAAAATTCAAACAGAACTCTGCACAACAAATCCCAATCTTAAATTTTCGTAAGCAATTATATATATATATATATATATATATATATATAGATTTTGACATAGTTGTCTTTGTGTGTGTTAGCGTTCAATTAATCATTTACTTTTGTCTTGTATGGTGCTTGTACTTTGTGGTTCCTATTAGTGATGACCAAATTGAAGCCATTTCCACCAAGCTTCCAGTTGACAAGGCTGACCTGAAAAATTTCTTTCCCAAGTAAGAAAACAGCAGCTTTCTTTCTTTTACCTCTCTCAGATTCATGCTTGTTTTTTTCACAGCATATTTGATCTACTAAAAATCGTCATTGCAACTAAATCACAGGAACTTCTTTACCTTGCTTTCTTACTATAGCATATAAAACTTATCATTTGGAACCTCACATGAACTACAAATATGTTTTGTTTTTAAGGTCGTGGTGTGATCGGTATGGTGATGTTGTACTGGATGTGGTGAAGAAAGAGTTCAAGGATCATGTTGGAGAGATGGAGAACAAGAGAAATGCTGCAAGAGAAAAACATCACAGTAACTCAATGCGATGGACAACATTTGAAGATGATGAGAATTGTCACCCGAATCTTTTTTCTCAACAAGATCATCATTCATTTCCAAAGAACCAAAATTTCACTGCCAAGAATGATTACAACGCCTATAATAATCCCTTCTCCCAGGGTTACTCTGAAAGCGAGGGAAATAGGCTGAGAACTGAATCATTCCAAAATCCCTTTTGGATCCCAAGGCAGCAGTATTAGTACATGGGATCTTGTTTGCTTAACAATCAAGCAGTATTGTTGTTTTTCGCTTACTTGTGGTCTATTGTAATTCCTGTTATGAACTCTCGACTGTTCTTCTGGAATTTAAACATCTTTTGTTTATGCTGGGTTTCATCGAACCCATGCAAGAAGCATGTAAAAGTTATTAAGTAGCTATAAAAGTATTAATTTTTCTCCCAGCATTCCCAACAACACCATATTGCAGACTGGTCTAGCTTTGTGGCAATTGGTGTGTTTGATTGCAGGGAAAACAGATCAGCAACTAGACACCTTAGTTCTTTTGCATCATATTTGGGTTTGATGACTTTGGATTATTTATGGCTTTTTTTAAGGCAACAGAAGCATAACAATGTGGAGCTTGAGAAACCTCATTTCCTGTATGGCTTTATGTACGATCTACAGAATTCAACCTTCAGGGAATATACTACAAGAGATGGAATTATAACGTAATAAAAGGTTTCTATATACAACTATATGTACAATTCTATCAAGTAGAAGGAATTTCTGGGTTTGGGATTGAAGGTTCGCTGACACCCTCACGAACATCTCCTCGACAAAGTGGGCATACCCTGTAAAATACCAAAAAGATGCGCCAAAAATTTCACACCAGAAAAGGAAAAAATTGATTATTAATATGATTTATGGAGAAGGAAATAATAATAAAAAAAGGCAGGAGGGTAGCAATAGCAATACCCATGTATTTCTTTAAGCCATTTATCCACGCAAGCCATGTGATATTCATGGTGGCAGGGAAGAACTCTTATTTTGTCACCTTCCTCGTACTCGGCCAGGCAAATGTAACACCTGACCATCAGAAAGTTATTATCAAAATCAAACACAATCCAAAAGAAACCATCTCAATATTTGCTCACGTATTAACATGAGTGCAATCCAAGCAATGAAACACCTACAACTCCAAGTTCCAAGCCACTTCTACATGCGATAGCACCCATGTGCATGTATAATACCCAGCTTATTCTAGTGTACATGCATGTTAATACCATAAAACTTATTTCAAAGAGAAACTTACTGTTCATCCTCATCATTCCCCTCAACTTTGTCAACCTTTTTATGGTTCTTAAGAGGGAAAGAGTCAACAACTGATTCAGGGGCAGGGAGTGACATCATGGATAGAGAAAGTGACACAGGCTGACGATGAATTTCATCCAAAACCTGCAACTTAAACATGACACCAGAACTTAGTAGCAATCGATGCAGGCCAAGCAGTGCATAAATCATGGTAAAACTGTCTAGCACAGATTCATGGTCAAAGCAATTCCCTTATCGTACAATTGATGGTGGCTTCCACACCTCCATAAGGTACATAGAAAGACAGCTGAGCAGTTTGAAAAACCTACTGCTAGATCTTAGTCTTGTTAATATTGAGACCGAATCAAAGCTAGTATCTAAATGCTAGCCTCTAGTGTAAATGCTTCCAGGCAAAGTAAAGGGTGTTTAACTATTCAGGATTCACCTTTGTGCTTAAATGGATTGCAAAATCATGCACCACCTTTAGATTCCTCAAACAAATAGAATAGAGTTTCTCAAATTATGGGATTAGTAGAAAATAAGTCTAAAACATCTACTGCAGGTTGGACATGGTTCAACACAATCATGCCCGTGAATTTGCAATTTTTATAAAAAGTGACACCAACAAAATGAAAGGATTAATATATGCACAGATATAAATAGAGACTTAAAGCATCATTAACACCAAAATATTGAATTCAAATCAGCAACTCCATCACACAGGTGCATCCTGCTTTTCAAACTACTTTCATTTTTCAAGGATGGGATGAGTGAAGTCAGGTGAAGACATGTCAAAAGGAGAACTACCTCAAAGAGAGCTTCAGCAAGCATGACTATTCTTGATATACTTCCACGAGTACTCAACTCCTCAGTCATCATAAATGTATCACACGAGCATGTACCATCAGGGTGGAGTCCAGAAGGACAAGAGGTAGTTCGTCGACCATTCTCATCAAGACCACCACGAAGTCTTTCCCAGATCTGCAAAGAGTTAGCAGGAGTAGTTCATAAGAATTACAAATGTAGAAAAGGGATTTTAACCTTATTTGTTATATTCAGCTAAACCAGCCCCCATGACTAATGGATAGACAATGAAAGGAATGGCACATAATTATACCAAAAAAAAAAAAAAAAAAACCTAAAAGAACCACTGAATAGTGCAACAATAAAAGACTAGGGCTTGCAACCAAAAAAACTCCATCAGGCCAAACAGCAAACACTTCCTGCAAAAATACGGAACTATGGGGCTGTCTTTCCAGGCTTACTTCCAACTTCCATACTTCAGTGGAACAATAAGTGTACAAGGGTCTTCTTGATGATTGTAAAAAACAATCAACTCCAAATACATACAGACCTATGATCCCCAACATATATCACAAGCATGTATGCAAAGTAAATGATAATAGCATTCTTTCATCAAAACTTTCAGAAATATCACCTCAGATCTTGAGTGCCGTCTTCGTTCATTCAATCTGTGAATTCTCCTGCCCAGATATCCAGAATCACTGCCTATCCCATCATCCAAAAAATCACCACTGAAATCAAGGAGCCATCTGTCATGGGATTCAAGAGCATCAGTATTGTCTGTCGAGAAAACAACAGTCGGAGAATCAACATGCCTCCTGGAACTGCGCCTTGAAAACGCATCCCAAAACAGTCTTCTGCTATTCCTTCTGGCCTCGCGACTGCTTGTATCTGAATTGTTGCTAGAATAAATGCTGGAAGATATACTCACAACATCAACATGGAGAACACTTTCATCTGTCCCCTCTTGTTCCCTATTGGGCACAAGAAATCCTAAATCTGAAGGTACTGAATCTTGGATAGACACATCTCGTGTTGAGTGAAAGGTTACTGGAACATCAGATCTATGAGTTACAGAATCAGAATTGGGCAGGGCTGTTGCTTCACCCGTACGATTATCAGAAGACACACCATTAGAATGTGGATCTCCATGCCCTGAAGGATACGAAGTGCTTGGCTGTATGATATTGGGATAGATCTGAGCAAAACTCGTGCTCTCTGGATTGTCAATGCCATTGACAGCATCCATGTTAGTTGAAACATTCATAGATATAGGATCTGATGATTGTCGTTCTTTAAATGAAGTACTCGCTTCAGTAATACTTCTATTCCTACCCGGTTCATCATGACTATGACTATCACTTACCTGATCTGCGCCAACTAACTCCTTGCTGTCAGATAGGCATTTCCCTCGACAGCTTGTGTCAAGATTTCTATAACCATCTTTCATAAAAGTTCCCTCACTGGCTATTATACTGTTTCCAGATGATCCTCCAGTTTCAGTATCCGAGCTGCTAGACCCTGTTACCGTACCAGAAACTACAGATGATTCCTCTGCAGAATTCTGTACCTCATTGATGACCGGACAACACTGTTCTGCACAATTCACCAGAATCTCATCTGGATAGTCTTGCATCTATTGGAAAAAGATGGCATGCATATCAGTCTCTTCTATAAAATGCAGCCACGAACATTTGAATAATAGCATCCTTAAATAGACTTCTCCAAAGATTTAAAAAAAAAAAACAATGCACATTGATCAAGACTAGAAATATCACAGGAAATGAATACTGCTCCCTCACCGCATCTTGGTTCTTGAATGATGAGAGAAGTGCCTACTGCCTATGTTTGTATATATCCTATGCCAACACTAAGGAATTGCTCCATGTGACAGAACCATCTGACTCTCACAAATCGCAATAGTCAGTTTTAGTCATAATAATGATAAAAAAAAGAGCTTCCATTGCAGATTTATAGAAATAGTTTATTGCAAAACAAGCATTAAAATTTTCTCAAAAGATTTCGCAAATCAATAGAGGGCATTGGGCAAAGCTTCTGAGAATCAACTGATCATCGGTCAAGGTTGAAACGTGCACATACTAAGACAACTTTCGTACATTAATGCCAAATATATTTAATTAGTAAAACATTCTGAAACACCAATTTGGAATACAGGGTTACATGATCTATGCAGGAAAGCAAATAGCAAAACACCTGTTTGTTAGCATTAACTTAAGCTTGATCAACCATCAAAGTGGACATCATAAAGTTTGACGGAAATCTCTAGAAACCCCCGAGTACGCTAAAATTCAAGACTAAACATGTAAGACAAAGGCATAAAATTTGAATCCATTTTCTACACTAAGGAATGCAATTACACAAAACTCGAACTGTCAATCAAATAACCAAAGTGACCAGATATTAGACGATTAGAAAGCTGGCCTACCATTTCTTTATCAATAAACAAACAATTCCAATCAAAATTTGATAACAAACACAAAATACTTGGTTTCCCAAACAGTAAACAAATAACAGAAGCAATCCCAAAATGGTCACATGATCAATCCTAGATCATCAAAAAGCAAAATATTTCCATGTAAAGATTCAAACTTTGATCACAACAACAAAAACCACAAAATGGGCATTCGTTATTTTCTCTAAAGTTAATTCCTTTTACATGATGACAACATAAATAATCCATTATTAACACTAATTGACCAACCCAGATTATCAAAACTAATTTTTTTTTTAAAAAAAAGAAATGAAAAATCAATTTCGAGTTCAGATTTTTAATCTTTCTTTTGTTGGTACCTCTTGACGAGCTGTGCGAGAAGAAGAGGAGCCACCACAGGTGAGAGAAGAGAAGATCCTGCAGGACCTTCGGCTCAGTCGGGTACTTGATGAGCGTGACCACGGTCTACTACTACTCGAACCCATTTCTCTAGAGAGAGAGAGAGAGAGAGAGAGAGGCTGAGAGATGATGGTGACGATGGAATGGAACTGTATAGCTAAAAATGGGAGAGAGGCCTTATTATTTTATTTCTTTATTTAAATTTTCTTATGCGTTTCAAATTGAAATTTTCTTCTTGCAATTATTAGAGGTGACAGAGTTTTGTTTTTTGTTTTGGGAAAACTTCAAACATACCCCTAAACTATTGACATAGTATATTTTTTACATCCAAACTAATTTCTATATCAATTTCACACACAAAAAAGTATTTTTTTTCAATTAAAAACTTCTATTAGAATCATTTAACATAAAAATGTTAAGTTTCCTACAAAATGAAGCATATTTTGGGATGAAAAATTTAAAAATGGATAGAAGTACTAAATTGAGAATTTCTAAAATTTAGGATATGATTGATATGAAAAATTATTTGATGGCAAAAGTGAGACTGCACATATACTCCAAGAATATTTTTTTGAGGTTTGCCCTTTTGTTTTTGCATTTGTTTTCTTGTGTTTGAGGTTAAGTGTGTTTAGAGTTTTTGTAGTTTTCTTGCAGAAAACACCCACATTCGGTGCCACATGATATGCTGTTCCCTCTTTATAGGGACATACACATCACTTTCTAAATGTTTGCAATAATTCTTTTGAAAAATACACCTCTTTTTTAAAAAGTTTTTATTTTTATTTTTTGTCTTTTGTAACGTGCAACTAGACATATTTAAGACAAAATCCATATTATTATTATTATTATTTTAAAAAAAGTCTTAGTTTTGAATTTGTCTTGTGATATGGCGGTAAGGAGTCTATGATCACATAATATTTATCTCTATTTGAAAATTCATAGATTATATCCATTTGATTATATATATATAAATATAAGCACAAGTTTAATCAACACGAATTAATTGTTGAGTTTTTAAAATTTTTCAAAAATTAATCTTTATATTAGTAAATATAAATCATTTGTACTAAATAATAAATAGAATTTTATCAAATCACATACCATGTGCAAATGATATACTTAATTTGCTTTAATTTAAGCAAAAATGTTAACTAAAAAGATATATAAAAAATCAGGTTGAAGTATAAAGATAAATTAAAAATATTTTTTAAAAAAATTAGATTGAAAATTTAGCCTATTATATTAAAAGAGGTGAAGGTATTAATCCTTTATTTCAAAGCCATGGGCTTCAGTCATCACAAATTTTTGCTTATCTTTATAAGCTTGAATGATATGGGGATGAAAATTGAAATTTCCTTTAGGGTCTGGGTGGACGGTTGAAGTCAAGCTAATAGTGAAGTCTCAACTCTCAAAAACTACATCCCAAGTAACCTCGAGTGTTAGTCACAATCCAAGAACAAACATCCAGGCTAATAAAAATCTCAAACTTTAATCACTAGATTGTTCCATTAAAAATTAATATACAAAAAAGTATCTTTTTCACTAAAAAAAAAAAAAGAAAAGAAAAAGAAAGAAAGAAAGACTTTGTTTGGAATTTTAATTATCTATCTCCTTCTTGTAAGCAGAAGATCAGGAATACGAATCACTAAAAAACAAATCTCTTGAATCAATTAGAGGATTATTTGGACATATAATGGAGCTAAACTTGATTGTTTTCAGGAGACTTTTTTTTGTCTTTTTTCCCTCTCTACCTGTCTTGTCTTTTGCTAGTTGTGGGGCACTACACCAAAAAAAAAATAGTAAAAGTTATTTTTCTTGTGATTCACGTAAAAAACAAATCATGAAATATATGGGACAGGCAAAATTTACCTAGAGACAGATTCATTTACTTGTAAAGGCAGTTAATTGAATAATCACCAATCGCAATGTGTAAAGATTAGAATAATTAATCTATCTGCTGAGAAGTGACCTAAAGTGAAATAGGTAAGAGCCACTTCCAAGTTTCAATGTCCAGAAAAATCCATGAATTTCAGGTACAAACCTACCAAAAACATGCACAAACGTGGGTGCATGGGTCTGACTTGTAGTTTTGAAGAAAAGATATTGACAAATGCGTGAAACATCAACCTTAATTTGCAACCTAACTAGCTTAGTTACTATCCATTTACATGTATAAATTCAGAGGTTATCTCAATACATTTCGCCACATCCATATTGAACAGCAAAGAGGTGTTACAAAAAAAGAAAGAAGATGCGCAATCCCCCACCACCACCAGACCCCCACCATCACCCCCATCCACCACCACCGCATGCACCTCTTCCCGGTCCTCCACAACATGGACCTCCTCCTCCAGGTCCCCATCCACCTCCACCGGGTCCCCATGCACCTCCACCCGGTCCTCCTGAGCCTCACAAACCGCCGCCACCTCATCGCCACCCTTAATTGATGATATGGAGAATTCAAAGCTAAGACTGCACATATATGAGTTAAATAACATCTCTGGAAGACGATGTAACCGAATTCTGATGGTCTGCATGTATCGCTGTTTTACTAGCTCACTTTGACTAGTAGTTCTAGTTTTTACTGTTAGCAACTATGTGTAGCATGTTTGGTGCTTGATTCAAAAAAAAAAAAAAAAAAAAACACGTATATGGTGCTTCGATGTGATTAATAATATGAGTAGATGTTTATGAAGTTTATAAATTAATCATGTTCATGTTCTACAAGTATGTGTTTTTTTTCTTCTAATTAAGATATCGCTTGTGGTTTCACTGGCAGCAGCACTAGTTCTTGCTTTCTATACCTGTGTTTTTTTATGAATAATCCCAAATTACTACCATATCTGATAATTTTTTTGTTCATCAATTTCTAATTTATCTAGTATCATACTCAATTTGAGGTTTTTATTTATTTATTTTTAGTTTATTTATTGCATGAACCTTTGTAGATTTGTTGCATCATAAAGTAGATTTTATTAATTTTTTAGCGGTTTGACATCAAGATTTATAATACGAAGACTTATAACAATTAATATGACGATTTTTTACAATGTTAGAGCAAGTAGTGTATTGCTGTAAAAGAGAGAGAGCATCAGACTCTCTCTTATATTATTAGATGGAGGGATAATTACATTATAAGTATATTAATTTTTAATTTTTTTTAATTGAGTATATGAATTTTAATATATTCATCTGAGTATATTAATTTTTTCAAATTAAACAATCAAGTATATTTATTAATTTTTTCGTTAACTAATAATTTGTCCATTATCTTCAGAATACTAAATCATAATTTTGCCCCTTTTTTCTCAATCAAATACATAGGTTTTGAATTTTTTTTTTTATTTGAGCATACTAATTTTTTAAAAATTATCAATCAAGTACTTTCGTTAATTTCTCCATTAACTCGATGATATATTCGTTACTCTTAAAATGCTAAATTATAATTTTATTCTAATTTTATTGGAGAGAATTTTTTTTAATTGTTTACAAATAATGATCTTCTTAATGAAAAATCTCATATTTGTATTTTTTTTTTCAATTTTTATGTCTAATCCTAGCTGAGTTTAGTTTGGAGTTTTATAGGTAAAAATAATTTTTTTTTTAACTCTTCATCAAATTTTGAAATGGTAGAACAATTTGAGAGAAAGTTCCCTCAAACAAAAAGAGGTTAAATTTGTAATTAAGTTTTTAGAAGTAAAAGATATTTTATCACTTGATGAAAAAATTAATAAAAATTTTTGATTGATAGTTTGGAAAATTTTGATATACTCAAATGAAAAAAATAAAATTATTACTCAATTGAAAAAAATTATAATTTGCTAAGGAATACATCATCGATTAACGAAAAAATTGATGAAATTGTTTTATTGATTTTTTTAAAATTATTATATTCAAATGAAAAAATTTAAAATTTATATACCTACTTAATAAAATTAATTTAGTTATAGTGTAATTATTTTTATTATTGCGAATGATTAAACACGCATCGATTGTTATAATTAAATGAACTTTGACTTGTATACAATAATAATCAATCTTGGATTTATAACAGTGACCAAAACATAGTTTGAACCATTCGTGGGGGAAACAAAGGTTGTAGTAATACTTTGGAAGTCCTCCTTATTTGCCTAGCTTTCACTTGGGAAAGTGATTTTTTGACATAAATAATTACTCAAATCATTTTTTTCTTAATTCTTAAGACATGTATCTTAAGCAAGGACGACAAAATCATCGTCTTTCTCGCTTCGCAACCTATGATTTTTTCAAGGGGATTAATTTTTCATTGACAAGAAAACAAAATAATAATAATAATAATAACATCTCATCCTTTATCTTCCATCCATCATTCTTATCAATCCTCTCTATCAAATTTGATACAAGAATGTTAATCGAATCACACACTCACCTCTATTAGAAATATGTAGGAGATGACGCAAAACAAATGACAGTTCGAAATTATGAACCAACCTTTCTACCACACAAATCTCTCATTAAAAAATAAAATAAAATAACAACAAAAAGAACTTGGATCTTATTACAAGAAGCCAGACAGACAAAGCCCAAGGCCCCAAGTTAATAAAATCAGCCCAACACCACAGCCCACCAAAAAAACCTACCGCGATCCACCCACCGTAAGGAGCTCGCTTTCTCCAGAACCAGAAGTCCAGAACCCCTTCAAAAACCTCTCCCTCTCTCCTCCGCTCTCTGCACAAAACCCCAGCCCTTTCCCTCTTTTGCTTCTCTTCTAGCCAACTTCGTCCTCTCTTCTAGGTATGGAGCACCTTCTCTTCTCTTTTCTTCTTCCTTTATTAGTCTATTTCATGCCTTCATTTTTGCTTGTGTATGTGTTTTTATGTATGTTTTTTCGCGATTCATTTTCTTTTTACACTAGCTGTACACTTTGAACAATTTAGTTACAACTGAATGATTATTATCTGAATTACTTTGCTGAATTGTTAGTAGAAGTGAATTTTGAAAAATGGGTTAATCCATTCGTAGAGAAAATAGACGCCCAGATGCTAGATTTAGCATGTTAAGTTACTGTGTTTTGTGTGTTTGTTGTTTTCAAGTTGAAGGAAGTAGAGAGGTGAGATTTGAAGTTTAGGTGAATTGGTAAAAAGGGTTGGTGAGATTATAGTCTGTGTTTAGGAGAAAACCGGAACCCCATGGTGTGTTGGCTTTAGTAAATTAGAGACTATTATCGTTTTGTTTTTAGTTTTGATTGAAATAAAATGAGAATAATTTTAAGGGGAAAATTTTAGTTGGCATTTACTGAAAATTTAGTTGATTCGGTGGAGGATGTATTTGGTTATTGATTAATGATTTGGCATGGCAGGTTTGAAGTGGTGAGATGGATGACAATCTATATGACGAGTTTGGGAACTACATTGGTCCAGAAATAGAGTCTGACCGAGAGAGTGATGGAGAGGAAGAAGATGAAGAACTTCCAGACAAGCCTCACGAAGATGAGGAGGAATCTGATGGTGAGGAGGCAGTTCATGCTTCCAATGGGTGGCTTACTGCTTCTAATGATGTTGATATGGATAACCAAGTTGTCCTTGCTGAGGACAAGAAGTACTACCCAACTGCAGAGGAGGTTTATGGTCCAGGTGTTGAAACATTGGTTAATGATGAAGATGAGCAGCCTCTCGAGCAACCAATAATCAAGCCTGTTAGGAACATCAAGTTTGAGGTTGGGGTTAAGGATTCCTCAACTTATGTTTCCAGCCAGTTTCTTGTTGGTCTCATGTCAAACCCTTCTTTGGTTCGTAATGTTGCCCTCGTGGGCCATCTACAACATGGGAAGACAGTTTTTATGGACATGTTGGTTGAGCAAACGCATCATATGCCTACTTTTGATATAAATAGTGAGAAGCACATAAGATACACGGATACAAGGATCGATGAGCAAGAAAGAAGGATATCTATTAAGGCAGTTCCAATGTCACTTGTCCTTGAAGATAGCAAGTCAAAGTCGTACCTCTGTAACATCATGGACACCCCTGGTCATGTCAACTTCTCGGATGAAATGACTGCTGCTCTCAGGCTTGCTGATGGTGCGGTGTTGATTGTGGACGCAGCTGAAGGAGTGATGGTAAGATTTGTTTTTTGGTTCAATTTTTTAAAATTCATTAAGAAACTATTATGTTCATATTGTATTATGATTTTATCTACACTTGTGTGGTTTAATTTGCAAAGGCCTTTTCCTTAGATATTAAATCCATCAATCTCGATGAGTTCAATGCTTGACATATTCTAGTCTTCTGCCCTATATACATCATATCAGTGTTTATACAGACATGAAGTCTGAAAATCGCTTTGTCTATTATTGGGCCAACTGCAGCAACAAGGCTATAATCTTCTGTTGTGTGACTTGTGCCAACTTGTTCTTTAAACCATGCACTTATGGATTGTTTTTGAACTTTGAAGATGGTATTTCATGATATTACTATTGTTTTATATGGGCACGAGCACGGCCTGGTTGCTTGATATGATGAATTTACTATTTTTTCCTGCTTAGGTAAACACCGAGAGGGCCATACGCCATGCAATTCAGGAACAGCTGCCTATTGTTGTTGTGATCAATAAGGTAATTCCTGCCTACCGCCATCTTGTTTGGCACTTCCAATTTAGTTTTTCAAATAGTTTAATTGGTTCATGAAGTGTTATTTGCACAAAATTATGTTTTGAAGGTTGACAGGCTCATAACAGAGCTTAAACTGCCTCCAAAGGATGCTTATCACAAGCTAAGACATACCATAGAAGTCATTAACAACAATATATCTGCTGTCTCTTCGACTGCTGGAAATGTTCAAATCATAGATCCAGCTGCTGGAAATGTTTGTTTTGCTGGTGCAACTGCAGGATGGTCCTTCACTTTGCAATCCTTTGCTAGATTGTATCTCAAACTCCATGGTATCCCATTTGATGCTGATAAGTTTGCATCTCGTCTTTGGGGGGATATGTATTATCATCCCGAGGACAGGACTTTCAAGAAGAAACCTCCTGCTAGTGGAGCAGAAAGATCGTTTGTCCAGTTTGTGCTGGAACCTCTCTACAAAATATACAGCCAAGTGATTGGAGAACATAAAAAAAGTGTTGAGGCTACTCTTGCTGAGTTTGGTGTCACTCTTCCTAATTCAGCTTATAAATTAAATGTCAGGCCTTTGCTAAGATTGGCTTGCAGCCAAGTTTTTGGCTCAGCTGCAGGCTTCACTGATATGCTCGTTAAGCATATACCTTCAGCTAAGGATGCTGCTGCTAGGAAGGTTGATCATACATATACTGGGCCCAAAGATTCAATGATTTACCAGGCGATGGTAGATTGTGATCCTTCTGGCCCATTAATGGTTAATGTGACCAAACTGTATCCAAAGTCAGATTGCAGTTCCTTTGATGCTTTTGGTCGGGTTTTTAGTGGTAAAATTATGACAGGGCAGTCTGTAAAAGTTTTGGGAGAAGGCTATTCACCAGAGGATGAGGAGGACATGACAGTAAAAGAAGTGACAAAACTATGGGTATATCAAGCTCGGTACAGGTTACCCATAAGCATGGCACCTCCTGGTTCCTGGGTTCTCATTGAAGGTGTTGATGCTTCAATTATGAAAACTGCAACTCTCTGTAATGTGAATTATAATGAAGAAGATATATACATATTTCGACCTCTTCAGTTTAATACTCTTCCAGTAGTGAAAACTGCCACAGAGCCTTTAAATCCAAGTGAGTTGCCCAAAATGGTGGAGGGTCTTAGGAAGATCAGTAAAAGCTATCCTCTGGCCATAACAAAAGTTGAGGAGTCTGGGGAGCACACTATTCTTGGTACTGGAGAGCTGTACTTGGATTCTATTATGAAGGACCTCAGAGAACTCTATTCCGAAGTGGAAGTCAAGGTATCGATTTCTCATACTCCTGTTTAATATGCTTCTGTGATTTATTCACCTCTTTTCTGTTATGGGGTGCTCTTAGTTTTGATGCACATCCTTTTTAACGCTTCATGTCGAATGTAGGTTGCCGATCCTGTTGTCTCATTCTGTGAAACAGTGGTGGAGTCTTCATCAATGAAATGCTTTGCTGAAACACCCAACAAGAAGAATAAAATAACCATGGTAAAGAAGGCCACAAGTTTATTTGATCTATTTGCTATTGAGTCTTTCTATCTCAATGCTGTGGACTTTTAATTTATTTCATCTGAAATATTTCTTAATTTTATAGATTGCTGAGCCATTGGAGAAGGGGCTTGCAGAAGACATTGAGAATGGTATTGTAAGCATTGACTGGAATCGGAAAGCTCTAGGTGACTTCTTCAAGACAAAATATGATTGGGACTTGCTTGCAGCACGATCCATATGGGCTTTTGGCCCTGATAAGCAGGTAATCTAGGTGCTTAATGTACTTGCAGAACAATTTATGCATGATTTACCAAATGATCTCTGATCAAATCCTGCTCTTGTCCGGATACTCTAATTCACTCTTTTTTTTTCTATGATTTGGTTAAACAAACTTAATTTAATCTTATTTAACATTAATATCTGCAGGGACCTAATATTTTGCTAGATGACACACTTCCTACTGAGGTGGACAAGGGATTACTGGGTGCTGTGAAGGATTCTATTGTTCAAGGGTAAACTGGAATTTTTCTTTTTGTCTTTTACCATTTAACCAAATGCCTAACTAAGGCCTTCATTTTCTTTTGGACAGGTTTCAGTGGGGTGCGCGAGAAGGGCCACTTTGTGATGAACCGATCAGAAATGTTAAGTTTAAGATAGTTGATGCTAGGATTGCGCCTGAACCACTTCATCGCGGATCTGGTCAAATAATCCCAACAGCTCGGCGTGTGGCCTATTCAGCTTTTCTTATGGCAACCCCAAGGCTCATGGAACCAGTGTATTATGTTGAGGTACTTACTGGATACTTGTATTATATCAAAGAAGTGTGCATATTTAAGTAGCATATATATAGAGTTTTGCTGCTTGTTAGTGTTACTAAGGGAACAAGAACAGCAGTGGAATTTGATGAGTTTGGCAGAAAGCTGAGTAGAATGCTCATCCTCAGTTTTCATAAGTCCTTTTAATTTCTTCTGACTAAATGCAATTAGCTCATTTCACGAGTTAGGGTTTGCTTGGATTATTCTAATAAATGTGCTTATGTTGTTTCAGATACAAACACCAATCGACTGTCTCACTGCAATTTATACAGTGTTATCTCGCAGACGTGGGCATGTTACAGCAGATGTTCCTCAGCCTGGGACTCCAGCATATATTGTCAAGGTGACTTCGCCTACCCACCTTACACGCTGATGGTTTTATATAAGTATATATATGCAGATGATTGACACACACCCACGCATACTTCAAGTTTTCTCTTATTCGCTTCTAATTTTTGACAATTGGATTTCAGGCATTTTTACCTGTCATAGAATCATTTGGTTTTGAGACGGACTTGAGGTACCATACCCAAGGGCAAGCATTCTCCCTCTCAGTGTTTGATCATTGGGCTATAGTCCCTGGAGATCCCCTTGATAAAAGCATTGTTCTGAGGCCACTTGAGCCTGCACCCATCCAGCACCTTGCCCGTGAATTTATGGTGAAGACAAGGCGTCGCAAGGTATACCCCTCTCCCATCTCCTTGGGTCTATCTCTTCTGTAACATGGATGACTTTTTCAAGCTCTAGAACATCGAACGATTGATACTTCAAAATTTATTATTTTGCTCAGCTGCATGGAAATTCCAAATCAAGCATAGTGCCTTATGGAAATGGTTTAATTATAACATCTCCAATGCTGTTAATAGATAAAACCAATAACCACTTTGTAATACTTTTTGTTTCAATTCTATATTCCAGGGAATGAGTGAAGACGTGAGCATTAACAAGTTCTTCGATGAGGCTATGGTGGTTGAGCTGGCTCAGCAAGCAGCAGATATTCATCAACAAATGATGTGATACTTCCAATGTGGGTGTTTTCTTGGCCATGGACCACAGTTGAAGCACTTCTTTTAGGCAATTGTTAGCCCTGCTCTTTACATATGTTGAAACCTAGATGGCAGATAGTAGTGTAGACTGATATCCTGAGCATCAGGTGCAGAACACCACTAACAAAAAGAAAGGATGTGCAATGAGTAAATTCAAAATTTTGGATGCTTGGTGTAATGTTGTATAATATGTATTGCTAGTGACATAAGAATTCTCTCTTCTTGAGTTCAGTAAGTTGGTCATGCAAGCAAAGTGGGATTATTTGTTCAAAAATCCCTTACTATTGGTTTGGACACCTTATTATTGGGTTTGCCCTACCGGCGTGCGCTTCCCCTCTGTCGCCATACTGGTTTGGAGAACTCCAAACATCCTGGCCTCCTGGGATTAGAACATTAACCTTGAAGTGAAGGGATAAATAATAAACATATTACTATATGTTTCTATCATCACCTGGAACGGTTTGTTTCTTTGTGTTTTAGCCACTGTTGTTAAAAAGAGCCCCCTGGTAAATCAGTTGCCTAGTTGCGGCCTTGGTGTGCGCTTAAAATCTGCTCAAAGGAGATGGAAATGCTAAGTTTTTTTTTTTTTCGTTTTTGAAAGAATATATAATGATGTTATTAATTTAAGTTTTTCCTTTATTATGAATATTACCAGCGGTTTTTTGTTTTTTGTTTTTTTGTTTTTTAAAGAAAGGCAACTGGGGTTAAGAACGGAGCACCGTAAGAAGGAAATAAATTCATGGACTTCATTTATTTTTGGACCTGCTAAACGTCAGTCAAACATTTCTCCTTCCGAGTTAAGAAAACTTGTCGGCGGCTTGGACTACTAGTAAAAAGCTAAAAATCATGAACGGTCCGTCTTCTTTTTATATTCGATCATGTCAAATTCTATACTTTGAATTGTATCAAATCAACCCCTTTATCTTCAATTAAAGGTGATTTGAGATTGAGGCCATCCCATCCATCCAACTACATTACCAATCAAATGGATACACTAATTCCATGTGTGAGGACATAATTCGAAGAAGGGTCTTAAATTACTTTTCTTAGGAATGTAATGTAAATTGACCAATTTCTAAAAGAATAGGGATACTTTTGAGCAATTGGAAAATGAATCATCAGACGAAATCCCAATCTAAGATCTAAATCTTTGTCCCAAGAAACCCCATTAGTCTAAAACTAACGTAATCATCTTTTTTCCTCTTAATCAACAATCCATGTCTTGAAAATCACAAACTTGTTTTGGGTTTTCAATACACAATACACGCTTAGCTTTCTTTCTCATTTCTGCCCAAAATTTCATTTTTTCACCTAAAAAAGCACACCTTGTGATTTCTGAAAACCCTAACGGTAGATCCAAAATTTCCACTGTTTAATCCCAACTGCGATTGAATTGCACCATTTCTCCTTCTGCAGTAGATTTACCCTTAAAAGTTTGGAACTTTGAGGGTAAATCATATTGGCAGTTAGAAATTTTTTGCAATGAGCTGATTATACTGGGATTTTTCTGTGTCAATTACAATGCAATCAGAAACCCAAATTCTTGCTCCAGCGTTCACCCTTTTCCCATCTCTTAAACCTCCAAACAAGACCCTAACTTTTCACCAATTTACGGTCCTAGTCATCACCTTTCTTGCCTATGCTTCATTTCATGCCTCAAGAAAGCCACCAAGTATTGTAAAAGGTGTGCTTGGACCCACAATTCAATTGAATTCTTCTATGATTGAGTCTAATTTAGCTTCTTTAAATTCCAATGATACTGGTTGGGCTCCTTTTAATGGCCCTGAAGGGACTCGCCGGCTCGGTGAGCTTGATCTTGCATTTTTGTCAGCATATTCAATAGGAATGTATTTTGCAGGACATTTTGGTGATAGGATTGATTTAAGGTTGTTTCTTGTTTTTGGAATGGTGGGTAGTGGTCTTTTGACGATTATTTTTGGGTTAGGTTATTGGTTTAATGTACATTTTTTAGGATATTTTGTGGGTGTGCAGATTTTGTGTGGATTGTTTCAGTCTATAGGGTGGCCTTGTGTGGTGGCAGTGGTTGGGAATTGGTTTGGGAAAGCTAAGAGAGGGTTGATAATGGGGATATGGAATTCGCACACATCGGTAGGGAACATTATTGGGTCGATTGTGGCATCTGGGGTTTTGGAGTTTGGTTGGGGTTGGTCATTTGTGGTGCCTGGAGTTTTGGTGATTTTAGTTGGGGGTTTAGTGTTTTTGTTTCTTGTTGTTAATCCTGAGGATATTGGATTTGAGACTCCAGGGAAGGAGGTTGAAATGGATGTGGAGGTGAATGGTTTGGCGAATTCGGAGAAGGTGGAGTCAGAAGAAGCAGGGCTTCTAGGGGAGGAAAATTTGGATCCTACAGCAGCAATAGCGTTCTTGGAGGCTTGGAGGTTACCGGGTGTGGCGCCATTTGCTTTCTGCCTCTTCTTTTCTAAGCTAGTGGCTTACACTTTTCTATATTGGTTGCCCTTCTACATAAGCCACACAGGTATTTGCTTCTATTTGAATGTGAAATTCTTATTAAGATTTGTTCAACGATCATGCTAATCGTTTTTGCTTGTATTTGGATATGGGTAACATGTAAGAATGGGGCTGTGCTGGTAATGAAAATTGCTGTCATCAACACAAATGATAAATTCTCTAAATCTGATTGTAGTAGACCATTTCTTCTTATCATGGCTTGAACTCTGTCATCTGGCTGACCCGCTAGCACCTTATTGCTTTGTTTGCCTTAGCACATATTTTAATTCGTTAGATGCTGGACGTTAGTTTTAAGTATTCTTTTGGAATTACAGATGTTGCAGGCGTGCATTTGTCGCACAAAACTGCTGGAATTCTTTCGACAGTATTTGATATTGGAGGTGTCTTTGGTGGAGTTTTGGCGGGATTTGTATCTGATATGATAGAAGCTCGTGCAGTAACTTCAATTGTATTCTTGCTGCTATCAATTCCAGCCCTTGTTCTGTACCGGGTTTATGGAAGCCTGTCTATGATCCTCAACAATGCTTTGATGTTTCTTTCTGGGTTGCTTGTAAATGGTCCATACTCTCTAATCACTACTGCCGTTGCAGCTGATCTTGGCACTCAGGACTTGATTAAAGGAAATTCACGTGCCTTGGCTACTGTGACTGCGATTATAGATGGCACTGGTTCTGTTGGGGCAGCTCTTGGCCCCCTTTTGGCAGGGTATGTTTCCACAAGAGGATGGAATAGTGTCTTTCTTATGCTTATTGTTTCTATATTCCTTGCAAGTTTGTTCTTGATTCGAGTTGCGAAAACTGAGATTAAAGGGATGCTGAATGATGCAAAATGGCTTTCAAACAATGCAACTACTTAGAAGATTATTCTGAGGCATGGTTCCCCTTTGTCTTCTTTTTACATACTAGTCATAAAACAGGTTCCTCAGAAAAACACGTAGATTTAGAGCATCTTCCAAGTGATTATACATGTCTGTATTTTGTAACTCATTCTTTGGTCACAGTCTCACAGATACATTCTTGCAGTCTCTGTTGTACATGTACAAACTACGTTATGAATGATACATACTTTTTATATTCTTGTGTAATGTTCAGGGACATTACTAGCAGCTACTATTTCTAATTCTTCTTATTGTTTAATCACAAATTGATACTTCCATAACGTCTCATTGAAACCATCAGAAAGAGTCTTGAGCCTTTAAATACAGGCATTGGAGCAGCAAAAATTGTGTTTATATGGTAATATTAAGCATCATTTGGGAGTAATTTTAGCTATTTTATCAGGCTGTCAACCTGATACAAGGATTAGGGGGCAAGAGTGCTTCTGCAATGCATGTATGTTGTGGAGTCCTTTATGAAAAGGCATCAGCAACACCAGCTTTCCTAAACGTGGCTGATAAGTAAATTGATTTAGTGAAATTAAGAACCACTGTGATTTACTAAGAGACAGTGTAGCTCCCTTTCTTGATTTTGTTTTCCTGTTTTTAGAAAATCAAAAACTGTTTTTTTTTTTTTAATAACAAAGATATATATATATATATATATATATATATATATATATATATATATATATATATATATATATTAAAAAATATAAAAAATTAATAATATTATGTAATTTAATTATGATGATTAAATGGTGGCATTATGGAAATAATATGGATGATAATGGTGGTAGTAATGACGACATCATGATGATTGATACAATGATAAAAATTATAATAAAATTTATATTAATACTCAATTTCTAGTGATTAAAAAAAAGCAGAGGTAGAACCCTCATAAATTTTATTAATTAAAAAAAAAAAGGGTAAAATCCAGCCTTGTTCAAATAAATTGGGAGGACAAGAAAACTTAAATCCCTAAAAAACAAAATCGTGTTACAAGTAGAAAAGAAAACTACCTCAATATTTGTAATTATAGAAACCAAATTTATTATGTTTAAGAAACAATTTAACCTCTAAAGCTAAAGGTAGAGAGACAAAAATAAACATGCTTACTTTGAAAGGAATATAGATGATAAGCTAACTTATTTGCAATCGAATTTTGCTTAGGATACGCATGAAAAAGAAGTATCCTAAAAGTAAAGATGAACATCACCTCACAAGGTAAGAATAGATTCAAAACAAGGAGAAGAGTACTAAAATAGCTTGAACCACTTGTTTTGAGTCAACCTCCACGATAACATTAATAAGGAAAAGCTCTTGATAAAGTAGAAGAACGTCACACAAAGTTAGAAGTTCTATTCTTGTATTTGTATTTGTAGACATAATGATAGTGTGTTATAATATATGACGTGGGTGGTTTGAATAATATGGTAATAATAATAGTCATTAATGTTTTTGAAAGTTATGAAAATAATAGAGTAGTATTTGCAGAGTTAATTATAATAATGATGAAGGAGGTGTTGATGGTGAAGAAGTAAATATAATGCTAGTGGTAGCCGAAAAGAATTAAATGACAATGATAGTTGCGTTAGGCGACATCGGGGTGATAGTGGAGTAATATTGGCGGTCATAACATATATTGGTGAATGATTGGTAATATGATATTTTATAAATAAATAAATAAAACTAAAACAAAAAACTGAAAACTATGTTGTTCTTAAAAACATTTTTCAAGTTATTTATATATAAAAAAAATACAACAATTTAACCAAATATGTTTTTTTAAAAACAAAACAAAACAAAACAAAATAAAAAACCACAGTGAAACCAAACAACACTAACTTTATCTAGCATTGATTGAAGGAAATCAACAACCACTGTAATTTACTAACTTTATAGGGTGAAGAAAGAACAATAGATGATAGGGGAAATTTTTTTTGGCTTTCTTTTTATATGCAAAATGACAATTAGAATTTAAACAATCATATGCGCAACAAATGAAAACATAGAAATAAAATCTATAATTTGCACGTATTGGGTATTTAAATTTGCTAAATTTTATATATGTTGTAAAAGTGATACCTTTTTTAATATGTACTCTAATTTCTATTCTATCATGCAATCAATGTAGCAATTCTAAATCTAATAGTAAAGTATGTTTGCATATTTTTAATTTCCTCCAAAATTTCAATTTATTTTATTAATAACATTTGTTACTAGATCAGTTTGTAGCATAAAACATTCTTATTGCTTGAATTATCAAGTTAAGAAAATTAAAGTGAATACCGTGATTGCATTTGCATATTTTCTTTTATAATTACTAGTCTTGATGAAAAAACCGCAAAATTTGCATTTGCATCCTATGAAATGAAAGAACTATGAATTTGTGTCCGGTTCAATTATTGTGATAGATAACCGCATATGATTTTATGATTTAATTGTTTAGAACTTTGTCTTATTATTATTATTCGATAATGAAGGATATTCTCGAATTAGTTTGTGTGTTAATTGTATATGTTCAACTTGTCCTTAAATTTGATTAAGTAGTTTACCTATTTTTATGGATTGAACCATTTTTTTTTTTTAACTTTGACATAAATTCAAATCACATAATAAATAAATTAGATTAATAAAGGAATTCCTCCAAGATGAGGATTAGGCCACTTAGAAATGGACATAAATATTCGACAATATCAATATCCATATCTTATTTTTGGGAGGCATTGGAAAAGATTAATTTAGTGGGCTTAAAAGTATGGACTGCTAAAAAAAAGTCTAATTATTACTTTTTAAATTTTTTATTAATAAGTTGAAACAATTTACTTTAAAAAACCTCTTTTTTTTTTAATCCCATTTTTTTGTGTGATTCAAATCTTATCATCCAAATCTAAATAACATGACATGCTCATAATGGTCAAGGATAATATTTTTTATACATGTTTTGACAAAGTTGTGTCACAATGTGCAATAAAGTATTTTTGCAAAACAAGAAGACATAATAAGGTCAGGAAGAGATGGGAAAAGAAAGTTTCAACTAACCAATGCAGTCTTGCACTAAAAAAAAAACTCTTCAATCTCCTAATTTCAGTTAATTATAAGTTAGTTATAATAGTTTATCGAAATAAATTAATTAATCTTTATGATATTAAAAATAATTAAATAGTTTTTCTATAAGTGTTGATATATAGCATTTAATTTAATATTCATAAAATTTTGTTCCAAAAAATGCACTATTTTATTGTTATAATTTTCATTTTATCTACTTACCTTTTCCTTTATTTATTTATCAATATAAAGATGAAAATCTTTCAACAGTATTCCATATTGGAGGAGTCTATGGTGGAATTTTGGCTACTATCAATTCCAGACCTTGTTCTGCACAAGAAGACCTTTTCTAGCATGCTTCACAAGGCTAATTATATTCATCACCATAAAAAAAAAAAACATACTAAAGTAGCAAACTTTGACCCATTAATTCAAAACATATACAGTCAAAAACAAATATTTGATGTATGTCTGTATGTTATTTTGTGCTAATTGCTGATTAGGCAACAATAACTTTGCACTTAAAATGGAAATGAAAGTTCACTATATATGTTCCCAATCAGTCTCTAATTCAAATGCACAACTATTTGAGTTATACATTTGTGTATTGATAAGACCATTCACTATGTTTTGAAGCTCAATCTCTCCCCCGGACGAACCATATAGCCAAGAGAAACCATGAACCAGAATAGAAGAGCTTGCCCCACCCATGAGTAAATATTTCGTAGTAGCCTCATTAGACCGTACATCTTTCTTGGTATATCCAGATAATAAGTATGAGCATAAACTGAAACATTCTGGAGCTACAAACGGATGAAGGACACTGCTTTGATGGTTGCCTTCTGTGAGTTTATTTTTGAACCGAGAGGAAGCAAAGAGGAAAGAGATGACTGATAGTGTGCTGATTTGGTGAAGCCAGTTTTAGCGTTTGAGATCAGGACTCAATTTAAAGGTACGTAGCTACCTCTTCTTTTATTTATTGCAAAGTACTTGTTCCTGACTTTTCTTTACGCATCCCTTGACTGTTTGCCAAACCATAATCATAGCTTTGTACAAAAGTAGATCTCTACATCGTTCCTTGTTTAATCACAGTTTCACACTGCACCTCCTGCAGAGGGATGGCAATGAGCCGGGTACGTTAATTCTTTTTCCTATCTACTAAAAAATATAATATTTATAATCCATTAAAATCATTTGCTCATTTTTTTATCTAATTCATATCTATTAAATCATACTTTATTCATATTCTGTCCAAATCTATTTACCCGTTAACTTTTTTTTTAAATTAAAGAATTTTTTATTTTTTTAATTGATTTTTTTTGGTTACAAACTCTTTTTATATATTAAGATTTTTATTAGATTACAAAATAACAATTATTATTTTTATTGTTATAAATTAATATGTACTAAGTTGAATAATTATTATATTTTTTTATTTTCTATAAACCAATTTAAAATGAGAGATAAGGAAAGGCAATTGGTTATATATATATATATATATATATATATCATTAAGTCCTACAAAATTTTATTGTTTCAATAAAAAAAAATTGGTGTTTTCAACCAGCATACACACGAGCTAGAGCCTGGACGAGAGATTGGCATGTGTTGAGAGATATAACTTTTTTTTCTTTCTTTCTTCTGTTTTTTTTATTTTTTATCTATCTCTCTATTTAAAATAAATCTATAAAATAATTATTATATATATCATTAATTACTCTTCGTGTATTATAATATTTAAGCAATAATATTTAAGCAAGAAGAATTCCCACAACCTTGTACGGCAGGAAATAATTGTTGCAGTAAGTATTTGTTTTTTCAGATAGGTTTGGGGCTTGGGACACGGTAATCGGGCCACATTACCATCCCTACTAGTGGCCCGATCGAGTGGCTGTCCAATATTCTTTTGACTTCTTTTTTTACTTTTT